TAAATATTTTTTGATTTCAAAATAAAAAAATAAGGGTATACTTTTTTCGCGATATAGAACAACCTAGGGGGTGAGAGCATAACAGTTCAGACTTTACTGTTTTTGGACCACCCTAATGCACATACATGCTTGGGGAAACGATTTATTTTAACTTTTTTCTACATATTTTTTTTTTGTGCAGATAATTTAATTAAGATAAATGATGTTTTTGTGAATGCACGAATACTTAATGGCTGCAATTGGGATGAAATTACTTCGCGCGTTGGTTAAAATTGAAATTTTTTGTACTATTGACGCCTTCGCGTTTCCACGCATTCTACGGTTGCCTTAAGCAGTGCATTTTTGAGTTGTGTATTTTCTACGCAGTTAAATAATTCCTCCATACCTTTTTAAATGTGAACAGTAACAGAACAGGCCAGGTGGGGAAAGGATATACTTATATCACTATCTCTTTCAGAAAGGCCTTTTACCGCCAAATCGCGGAATCTCGCTTCATAATTTAAGTCCTCAAACTCCTGCGAAAATTTCAATTCTTTGATAACTTGCCTAATCAATTTTATTTGATCAAACTTAAGTTCGAATTTTTATTAAAAAAAAGAATTAACTTTAATTCATAACAAGAACAAAAGGGAAATATTTATGGCCTTAACCGGCCTTATCAAAGGTCTTCGGCACCGTTTGTCATTCCATACTCCTAGAGGACTTTGAGGCATGCTCTCCTAGAAAGGACTTAAACAGTGGTCGGTTACCAAAGGGGTCGATAGTCGTCGGTTATTTTTCGGTGTCAAACTTTAAAGCCTAAAAGAACTAGAAATGCATTATCACAGCGTGGTTTACTTTTGCCCTTGCTGTTTTACTTCTACATCTCAAAGCTTCCTCAGCCGCCAGGGTGTTCTTTGCGCTTTCTGCAAACAAATATATAACACAGATTCCACTGTATTTGCCGCAACTTTCGAAAGAAGTTTATTTTTTTTTGTATACTGCAAGCACTTAAAAACTCTTAATCCTATAAAAAAAATATAGCTGGTTTGATCTACATATATTTATTACTGGGTAGAAGTTTGAAATATTTTTATGAAATTGTTATTGACTTTAATACTTTGGCCAATTTGTCATCTTCACTATACATGTTTAAGTGAACCAATTTATATATTTAAGAATATCTAAGTACTTATAGTACTCACCGCACATTTGTTACAGTTATGTTGCTAACACCATACGCTTGTATACTACGGAATAGGGCACGATAACCGTCCGGTCCACTGCCCAACACAATGCCAATCTCATCGATGACAACTGGTTCAATCTGAAAGAAATGTCAAGTATTACATATTGGTGGACTTTTGACAAAACAACCACTGTGCTTTCTGTAGGTTGGAATTTAGAGTAGATTATAAGGAACTACCATTTAAAAATGTGAATTTTTTTTTACTACCATTAAGATATCATCATGAACTACTCCTATTAATGACTAAACACAAAAATATCATTCGAGAACTCAACGAATTATTGCTTTGAAGAGAAAATGACCTCACTCGAGAGAAGTGGTTTTGTCAAAAACCCACATATATGTACATACCCTGCAGAAAAAAAGTATCAAAATAACCCATTTGTAGTTAGCTTTTTTCTGGGATTTCTATAGAATATATATCTTGTAGTTAGTTGCGAAAAGCTAACGTGAAACTAGTTGAAAAGTAATGCAGGAGTAATGCACAGATTTCTTTCTTTAAACAAGTTTCTATTTAAATTTTACATTGAATATATTTCCTTTCTGCCCTTCACAAATACTTTTTCGAATTGAGGACAAATAAAAGGAATATCGAAATTTTATATTATCATTTGAAGTTATGTCTGACGGAGTTCGAATATGGGAGCACCTACAGCAGAATATGTAGACAAATATGAAATGTAATAAAATAAAGTAAATCAGTATTAAAGCAAAAAAAAAACAAAAAAAATGTATTTTTTTAATGATATTTTATGTCCAAAAGTAGTTAGTTACAAGTTAGTTGACATCAAATGCAGAGGTAACCACCCTTGACTATTTCGCGGCCATCGCCATAGAAATATAGTTGTGACCTTTAGTTCCTTCCTAATCAAGTTCAAGTTAACTTATAGTTAGATACATTTCTCGCAGGGTACATTTATATACGTAAGTAAATATATATGGATGTGTGAGAATTATTTAGATATGTATGTATGCATCAGGGATGAAAAAGTAGGTACAATTGTACCTTCTTCAGACGTTTGATGACTTAAAGGTATATTAGGTACAATCAATAGTTTTTAGGTACAATCCTTTTCTGGTCGGATCCATTTATAGTTTTTTTCTTTTTCCTTTACCGTGCTAATATATTTATTTGTAGGTATTGGAGAAGTTTCGCTTACATTTTGAAGAATAAACTATCATTCTCTTAAACATTTTACATAGTATTTAGAGCAGTCCCTACGAAAAATTTACAATTTGCTTAACTATACTCAAATTCGTAATATTTGTTATATTTGAAATTTGAACGAATTACTTCCATAAAACGTCATTGCGCCCTAGACGTTGTGAACTCTACAAACGCTCTACCTTTGCAATTGTTGGAATACATTTTTACTGAAACCATAAAACCAAAGTTCCCGCATTTTCAACTTTTCTATTAATTTTAAGGCTTATTTTCACTATGTCAAATTCAATGGCATTTGCGGTCAAATAAGTGAAAACAAATTGTCAAATGGGAGTAAAAAATGGTCTCTTGATTGATTTACTAGATCAGAATAGGTCTTCCGTCGTGTACACGCGCTGCTAAAGCAGCTATTTATAAATTTTTGGCCCATAATATCATCGATAAAAGTATGGATAAAGGAAGAAATTTGTGTAAAAATTTGTCGACAAATTTTATTGTCCAAATATGATATAATGAAAACCGGCCTTTATTCGCCCATACAGGTCAGTGTCTAGGATTTCTTCAAATTTCGTACATTCTTTGTTTGAGACAAAATCTATTTAACCCATATTCGCTTTTTGATTTCTGGAAATCACTGACGGCAAATCCGATTATTTTCTCTAGGCTTGCCGCACCTAATAAAAGGAATCGGATAAATTAGCAGAATTTTCCTGTTGCTTTATAAAAACCTGGATATAAAAATAAACATCGCAAAGTCTTTTTCGCAATTTTTTTTTTGTAGTTAAAATTAGACAAAAATCAAAGCTCAGTTAAAAACAAATCTACTCAAGTTTAAAGTACATCCATCTTTTGTATTAATATTTTAAATAAAATTAACAAAAAAAACTACAAACGAATGATCTAACTTTACTTTAGGTACAATCTGCCTCATTTGGGTGCATTTATTTTAAGATATTAGGTACAATCTGAAATTTCCATTTTTCATCCCTGGCATGCATGTGCGTGCAAATGCTCTCGAGTGGGTGTAACTTCCTGTAGCTCACCTCGTAAATATCCAATTCAGGTATACCCTGCCGCAGATAATGCACCAATTTATTGCCACTGTCACGCAGGCATTCGTTGACATATTCTTCATCGCGCGGACACTGTTGCAGGTAATAAGCTGAAGTGGCAAAAAAAAACCAAAGTAAAAAAATTATTAATGATATATGTAATAATAAATAGTAGTAATTCAGCAATTAATTGATGTTTTGGCGACACAAAATAACGGTTATGTGAATTGAAATGCAAATGTGGTAAGCAATGATAATAGCTAGTTGCAGCAATAAATACTCGTTACAGAAATCATTAAGCACTTTGTTTTTATCCAGCAGTATTCTTGAATTTTTCTAGACTCATAAAAAATTCATATCGTACGAGTTGTTCATTTTAACAAACTACATATGTACAATCAATAAAAATTTTAACATTTCCAAAAGGGGTTTTAATGACATTTTTTTTCATGGAATGTTTCATTAATCTTTGCAATTTGTATGCAATAACTGCGTTTCTTGCTTAAGTGCATATTTTGAATACATATTTATTTCAAAGGTATCAGCTTTCATTTAAACTGTTAAAATCGATTAACCAAACCCATCTGGAACTGGGAAAGTTGTTTTTGTTTTTCTTTATAATTTTTGGGTATATTTGTTCACATGGAATTTGCGATAAGGCCTTATATTTACATATAACTTATCTACCAATTACAAATGTAGACTGTTTATTTTTTATTGTATTTTACATTTTTTTCTTTTTTGTATATTTTATTACCAATTACGAATTCAGATTTCTCATTTTCTTTCTTCTATTTAATTTACTTCTGTTTTTTTTTTAATATTTTTCTCATTTTCTTTCTTCTATTTAATTTACTTCTGTTTTTTTTAATATTTTTATTTTTTTACTTGACTTATAAATTTTAAATACAACTATTTGAATCAAAATAAAATTGTGAACACAACAGTTACCTTAAATACTGTATATTTTAGCTATTAGCATAAAAAATTCAAGTTCTAAAATTGACTTTTGGCCTGATACCCATATTGCGAGGCATATTTAAATTACTTTATTTTGTTCTTTAACAGGTAGCAACGAAAGGTAGCTTAGAAATAAAGGAAGGAAGGAAGGATTAATATATATCTTATAATATTATGCTATTTTATATAAATTAAATTTGACATTTTAAAATGGTGGCAACACTCTTCAACATATTTTCAAACTACAGCCTTTTTAANTGCGATAAGGCCTTATATTTATAACTTATCTACCAATTACAAATGTAGACTGTTTATTTTTTATTGTATTTTACATTTTTTTCTTTTTTTTATATGTTATTACCAATTACGAATTTAGACTTCGATTTTTTATTATTTTATTTATTTCACTTCTGTTTTTGTTTTTTTTTTAATATTTTTATTTTTTTACTTGACTTATAAATCTCAAATACAACTATTTTAATCAAAATAAAATTTTGACCACAACAGTTACCATAAATACTGTATATTTTGGCTATTAGCAGAAAAATTCAAATTCTAAAACTGACTTGGCCTGATACCCATATTGCGAGGCATATTTAAATTACCTTATTTTATACATTAAACAGGTAGCAACGCCTTTACATGTAGTTTAGAAATAAAGGAATTCCGATTGATACCCATGTATTTTAATATATATCTTATATTATATAAATTAAATTTGACATTTCAAAATGGTGGCAACACTCTTCAACATATTTTCAAACTACAGCCTTTTTAAACCTTTTTCTTTCGAAAATCATTTCGATTCATGCCCATATTTTAGTGATTCATTTAACTTAATAGAGTTAAATTTTTTAACAGGTGGCAACTCTTCTCATGTTCTGGCCCTGCGTGTTTCTAAGCTAATAACAAAATTAAACAAAATTGATAGGTTGTGTTTGCTATTTTTTTCTTCAGAAGGACATTCTCCTTGTATCGAGAAGCAAAATCTTTTTAATACAAGTAATTTTTAGCAAAAAAAAAAANCGTTATTTTTTTTAACAGGTGGCAACTCTTCTCATGTTCTGGCCCTGCGTGTTTCTAAGCAAATAATAATAAAATTAAACAAAATCGATAGGTTGTGTTTGCAATATTTTTCTTCAGAAGGACATTCTTCTTGTATCGAGAAGCAAAATCTTTTTAATACAAGTAATGTTTAGCAAAAAAAAACCGACTTCAATTCTCATATAAAAATATATATACATATATACATAGTATGGGACCTTTCCGATGCAAAAAGAATTATCGAAATCGGTTGACGTGGTCCAAANATATACATAGTATGAGACCACCTCTGAGACACTACCTTTCCGATGCAAAAAGAATTATCGAAATCGGTTGACGTGGTCCAAAAAGTCAGAATAAGAAGAAATATAAATAAAGGTCCTGGTTTTTGTCAACCCGAAAGAATTTAAAAAATTCTGGAAAAATGTATCGGATTATGTTTGAAATGCAACCGTGGGCAACTGCTGACAGTGAAACTGCAAATTCCTGCAAATTTGCGTTCGTGCATCACTTGCAAATTTCTCAAATTGAGAGAGAATTTGAAAGATTTTTTCTTACTCAAAGTTCACTGACTTATCAAACTAACCTTGTACATAAATTTTCGAACGGTATTACGTTATATTTTACTCGTACAGTAATCACTTATTTATATTAATATTTACATAAAATATTAGCAATATGTCGTTTTATGAATATAAAGGTTGACAAACTACATAATAAGTATGCATTCGAAAAAAAATCGATTTGACTCTAATCGCTCAAATGATAATTAATTTACAAACATACATATATGTATGTAACAAAACAGGTGCTTTACTAGAAACTGGTTTCAATACAGTCGGGCTTAAATACAAAGAACTAGCACGCCACCAGCAGTTTACTTCGTAAAGCTTATGGCGTTTTCTTTTCTAAAAAAAATGTTGCCTTTTCATTGCTTTAGAATTTGTGCCTAGAGGGCACTGAGATGGCAGTAAATAGAAGTAAATTTTTTTCTTTTCTTGAACGTATAAAATGAATTTTTTGTTTGCCTAAAATATAAAATTTATTTTATAGACAAACTGTTTCTATGATTTTTTCTTAGGCGAAGGAGTATGAACGAATACATATACTACGGTGGTCCTTAAAATATCAACATCAAGGAGCACCCCTTTATTTTGTTCTACGCGCAAAATGAAAACATCCACAAAAATTAAAAAAACTTAAAATAAACAATGCTAGTGTCTCCTACCAGATTTTGAAAAAATTTACTTTTAGGTTTTCGAATCGCCAAATTCGGCAAATTATTGACCTTGCCACGCCTAACTCCGTGAGTTTGTGAATGAAAAAGTTTCAATACGCTTAGTTATAGCTGAACAAAGGCAAAACTTTGTCTTAACCTTGCTTACGACTTCTAAAAATTTGTTTAAAATTTTGAAATTTTTGGAGATGCATTTATTTTGTACGTACAACAAAATAAAGGGTGTCCCGTACAGAATTTGGACGTTGATATTTTAAGAACTATCCTAACAGATATATATATTAGGTAACAAAAAAGCGAAAATAGTTCCATAAAGATATCTTAATTAAGTATCTTCTTTGTATAAATCTATATAAATTAAACTCTTTTATAGTTAAATATTTTAAATTCCCCGACAATAAGTATTTCTTAATTTGGAAAAGTATTTTAGCGTTTGTTTTCAAGACTCAAAACTTTATCGGTGAGTTTAAGTTTTCTGTAGAAGGATACCAAAATATGTCCACATTTAAGTAGAATAAACAGGTGATTATAAAAATTTAAGACAAGCTTTTATTAGTGGTCAGAAAAAAAAGAAAAATCAACCTCCGTACTTCCTAACGGCTAAATATATTGTGGAGTTATTTCTTTCCATTTAAGTACCTAATATACGTTCTAAATATGAAACAAATCGGACCATAAATATGATTTTCCAAATATCTCGACTTCTGCGTTACCTATCGGGAAAAAATTTTGTGGAGCTATTTGTTTTCTAACAAGTAATATACATTTTGAATATGAAGCATATGAAGCATATCGGACCATAAATGCTAGGTTTTTGAATATCTCGATAGTTGCGCCACCTAGCGTATCAATTTATCGTATTTCATTATCAATGGGTTGTTAACTAATTTTCAAGTTTCTAGCTCATCGAGAAGTGGGCTAAAACTTGATTGTAGGGTTTCATTACACACAGGTGAAACATAATAAAAAGCGTGTAAAAACATCTGCGGTGGACAGAAGTTTGTTTTAGAGAGTCTCCACTGTATTTGATTTTAAAACATATACATACATATGTATATATGTATTATGAAGCAAAACTAAGCCACGGGGTTAAAACCCTTTAAAGTAAAAGTTCTTATTACTAAATAATTCTACAGTAATAGTTTGCATATATAAAAATTAAATGCATAGTTATAAAGTATTTATATTGATCCACGGATGTATGTACATATGTACTTCCATAGCATTAAAACAATATATGTACATACATAATTTTCATTATAACTATTGAATATTTTAAAATTGATAACCTGTTGAAAGTATTTATCAATAGCGAATTTACTCAATAATAGTACTTCACTTAAAGTGTAGTCCAATAAACTAATCCTAGACCAGCGCATTTACTACCTGCTTACTTTGTTACTTAATTTTTACGGCGCACAGTGTGCTTTTTGAACACTATGTATGTATGTATATGCAAATTAATCGTAGCGCATTCGATAGAAGCAACATTTTGATAACAATCAAACAAGGTTTCAAAGCTAATGCGACAGAATTTTTCAAATTGATGATTTGTGTCTCAAGCCTAGAGCTGACAAACTATCGATCAGTGTTGCCACTTGAGTTATTTTTAGGTACCAAAACGCCTACCTAATCAGTTTCCAAACTACCAAATTTTTGTTCATCATTAAAACGAAATTTTTTGAATTTGCGGGGTTTTTAACTACACATTTTGACAATATAATATTGTTTACGGTGTTGGTTAACCATTCATACCAATATTTAAGGTTAAAAAAAAAATCGGGCTTTTAAATAAAAGAATTAACGTATTGCGTAAAAAGCTTTTGTGTAAATACCTTTGAGAACAATTCAATTCATATCAATAAACTTTTATGTTTGAAAAAACAAAATCTGACATTTTTTGTATTTCAATAATTCAAAATTATTTTCGATTTGCATACACTCACACTTTGCAATTGCCTATCACCAATTTTTCTTTCAAGACGATAGGCAAATTTTCGTTCAATTTCAACAGCTGATCGATCATATTTTGGGAAGTCAGGTTTTGTTTGCAGAAAATTTTGTGCTTAGTAAAATTTAGAAAAAAGCAAAGAAAACTTATACGTGTTAGCAAAGTGAATGCAATGTTTTCAACTTGTAAACGCAAAGTAAAAGAATAAATTTTAATGCTCAATTTGATTGACTTTTCAAAGCCGTTTTGCCTACCAAAAGCTTCATCAAACCAACCAAACCACCAAAGGAGAATGAAGCTACCAATTTTGGTCCGATTGGACCAAAACGGCAACGCTGCTATCGATGGCACTATCCATCGAAAGCATCGATGGTTTTGTAAGCACTATTGATAGTTTTCACTAATACATACATTATTTAGTAAGGGTAAAAGCCGGCGATACCTGCTTCATCTTGTAAATTGGAAGGGACATTTGGCAAAGGAGGGCAAATAATTTCAGAGCACAGATGCTGCTTGAAGCCAAAAATCGTTGATAAACTTTTGTCCCTTAGCAAAATTATGGCCATATTTTAGCATTTCTGATCTCATTTTCTTTTTTCTTTGGGATCGAACAGAATCCCTTCGTTTGACGAAGTTTTAAAGCAGTTTTCTTAACTTCGCTGCTGACCACTCGACAGGAGCACATATGTATAAGCAGGATAATCTTTTCTTGCCTGTTGGTAATTTTTTATAAGCCATTTTTTCATTTCAACCGCTACTTGGCTATTTTCTAAGGTATCTTCCGAGCCTGGCTGTTTTGTATCGATAGCTTAGACCAAAAAATATTCTTCTATATAAGAAATTAATAAAATGACTACAAGACTTTTGTTCCATGACTAACACAGTTGTGCTTTTCTTTTAATAGAGGATTACAGCAACGATATAGCGGTGACATGGTGACGAGAACTACACAATTAAACATTTGGCTATCACACAAAATGTCTCATTGACGAACTGAAAATTATTTGGTTGCTTTCTTCTTGCAGAATAAAATAAATTAAAGACAAAATATCAAAAGCACTTAAACAATAATAAATTTCAAAACAAGGTTGGCGAGTGGAAGCAGTTATTGATTTTTTTACAGTTATATGGTAATAGTCTCCATCTTTTTCTCTTCGGAATGCAGTTTGCAAGGTTTTAATGTATCTACAGTATTTCTTTTTTTTAATTTCTGCTGGGCTGAGAACATTTTTAAAAACTAATTGTTCTTTAAAAGGATATATTAAAAAAAAATATAAAAAATGTTTTCTGAAAAATTTTACACAAGTATACTAAAATATGGTCAATTATCTTTAATTTGTGGTATTTTTTGTCCAATTTAGTTATCCCGTAGAAGAACAATGAATTTTAGAAAAAATTTATCTTAAACTTCAAATATTCAGAGCACCAGTTTTTGACACTGAGAGCTATAAATTGAGACACAAATCATCAAAAGATATGACCAAAATTCTTTTGTGTGCTGATTTGAAAAATGCTGAACGTAGTTCCCTTTAAAAAATGTTCTTAAAAAGTGCTTTAATGTTCTGTTATTCTAATCTTATTGATTACAAACAAAAACGTCTGACCTTAAAATAGTTATAATTCAGCTCTCAGAGGACCTAAAGAGCCTATTATGGCTCAAATTTAAGATTGCAATAAATGATACATTCTTATAAATGAGGGGTCTACGTTTTTTCTTTCGTTTTTTTTTAATATTGAGGTCGTGTTTCTCGTCTCAAAATCTCTAAGACCAGTATCATAGAACATAAACGATTTTTTGGAAGAAATCCTGTAGTTTTTCATGTTTTTTTAAGAACACAATTTTTTACCAATTTTTTAAGGTCAAAAAGTAATTCGCATAGCATACTGAGCGGCGTCTACCTTTTTATAAGCTTTTTTTCATTGAAGTGGCAATTTTACAGTGCTGATGTCTTAAAAACGTTCTATATTCAGATAGAATTCACATTATGCCGGCTAATGAAATATGTACTACAGTATTCCCCGCTTAATTGACCCCCGGTTAATTGGTTTCCCGGCATAATTGGTTAAGAATATGTGCTATCGAAAAGAGATATCGCTAGTTTGGAGTGAAAAGTTGCTAAGTCCACTTTTTATGAAAACTTATATTTTCATACAGGAGGAATGAAAAATGCATTGCTTCGAAAAGTATAAAGGTGCTTATTTCATTTGTTCTCGTTTACATTCAATGAGAGGAAAATTTGTTAAGTCCAAAACAAACACCAAAAATCCGATAAGGCCAAAATAGCATCTTTTTTAGTAAAGATCGAACCCCTCCGATTCGTATGGAGTTTTGCTTTGACTTAAACAGCCAAAATGTTGTGTTCAAAGTTTGGCGAAATACGTGAAGAAAGTGTATAAGAAGTTTTTTCTTCCCTGTAAAATTTTTGGAATGGGATTAACAGCTTTTCGCTTTAAGCTGTACCTTTAATTATAAAGTTTAGTTAGTACTATTAGAAAATTAAGCTTTCTTCATAATTATACAAAAAAACGCACTGTCTTAATACTCACGTTGCACATCATCCTGCGCGTTCACCGAAATCCAGCTGATCACTGTCAAAATCGCCATCAAACCAAGCTTAAACATTTTTGTTTATACAATTATTTTCACTTTTCAGAAAGCAAAAGTATCAATTTTTTTTAAAGAAATTCTATAGTTAAGGCAATTAACACCTTTTAAATTTTGGTCACTAGTGGCACTGACCACTGGAAAGATGCTTTCAATGCCAGAGTGAACGTTGCCAGCGAAAGTGCGAAAGTGCAATAAAACGAAACTGATGTTAAACAAAAGTCAAGTAGCAAACAATTTCACTTTGAGTCACAAAAATTGGCGCCGTTACTACATATGAATGTCAATAGTAGCCAAAAAACTAAAACAATCACTGGAATGTTAGTTAAACGAAAATTAGGTCAATACTTTTTAAAGAAAGACAAGGAACGCACACAAGTTTATCAAACACGCGCACTGTCTGAGAACACACAGTGGCTGTAGGGCAGAATGAAAGAGCATATAGCAGATATGTATGTAAACATATGTATACTTGAATGTCCTATAAATAATGAATCTTGTTGTATTTTACGTTAAATTGCTCTTTACGATTTAATTTAATTTTTATATTCTTGCCTCTACGATGACGAATTCACAACAAATAAACGGAAGCTTCTTTCTGCCTGCTGGACGTACCAACTTTCACGCCGTTTAGGACACAAATGAGCTCAAACTCTGTTGGCCAAGGTGTTTTAACCAAGTTGTATGTTGCCAGAAATGCGCTGAGGCCAAAGCGTAAATTTCTTATGACGGACGAGTGCAATAAAAGAAATGAAGAAAGTCAACATGGAACTACAACAAAAGCTTTGTATGTGAAGAGAAAGCAAATGCGATGAGCCGAAATACAAACTGACATATGTCAGCATAGACATATGCACATCGTTATATGTGTTTATGTTGTATTTAACAATCAAGAATTAAAGCAGAAAGAGGTGATTATGTAGAACGCGAAAACGTTGAGCGAAACAAAGGAATCCACTGATATGTGTAAGCTTATGCATATATAGGGTGATACAAGGTTATGCAGATCTTTGACATCCGTTATTTTGATAGCTATGCTAATGGTTTTATTTTTTTCAGACAATTGGTACTGCAGGCTTTGGCAAACTTAGTCATGGAGCGATACTCAGTTGAATAAAGGCGTAAAATTGATCCCGATTAAAAAAATCATCACGAGCGATGAGGAACTTTTTCGTCTAAACAGAAACCTTAACAAGCAACCAGCCACTACAAGAAAAAACTATGCATCCACAACGAGTTCCTGTTTGCAGCGGGGTTCGGGCTGGTGAAGTCATCGGACTACACTTCTCTTAAAATTATCCCGGTAACGCTGTTACGCTGAAGGGACGTTATCGCGACGTGATAACAAAATTGTTAAGTGCCTCAAGTAAATAATATGGAATTGAAAAATGTGTGGTTACAAGAAGATGGTGCCCCTTGCCATATAGCGCATGAAACAAAAGCCCCATTGCGTATATCAGAGTTATTATTGAATCACCCTATATGTATGTCTCTACGACCATAAGCATACATACAAGCTTCAGTAGCTGTGTGACTACTTTTATTTATATAGGAAAAAATATGCCTCATTTTTCTACCATCGCTTCCATAACTTTCAACGCATCTTAACTTACAACAATGCCAACCAACAGCTGTTGTTTTCATAATATGTACATACAAGTATTCTACCTCAGATGCAACATTGCAGGCCTTCTTTATCTCCTATGCTCGGTCTGCAGTTAACTCACGCATACTAAGTCCCAGCCATCGTATCTCGCTGCAAAAAAAGCGACTGGTTCTGGGTGATTTCGGGCAAAGTTGCAAAGAAAGATGCCAGTTTTGAACTCCTTAAATATGTACGTTCGAACTTGTGCTATGTATGATGAGACTAATTTCACAAAATTTTTCTAAGCGGAGTCGAAAGAAGACTAATCATTTCCCCTAAATATATGGAAATTTGTCATCTGACGTGATTCCACACCTTCTTGTTGGGTGCTGTACTAGAAGATATTGCATGAGCTCAAATTTTTGAAGGCGGGTGAGAAGTGCGTATCTGTTTCCATAACAACCGAAAGAAAATATGCATGTAAAACAATCGATCTTGACTTAGTCCTGGAATGAGTAGAGTTTAACGATCGGTGAGCGAGGAAAAATATTGTCGACGCATGCTAGACGCATTTCCATAGAAAAATAAAAGTCTCATATAATTATTAAAAGAAGCGTCCCGAGTGACGAGAAAAACAAAAATCTTATATAAATATTATAGGAGGACGTTAATGATTTCTATATGAAAATATTTGCCCCACCAGACAAAAAAAGATATTTGTCCTAAATAATTATTATACAAAGAAGAAAAACATTTCTCTTAAAACAAGGCGACGTTTTTGATCCCAAATACTAGGTTAAAATTAATTGGTTTGGATCTCTTTTATAAATATATTTTTTAAGAGGGTTAACACCTGTTCAAAGAAAACATTACGTCGCAATAATATGAGAAAAGGGTTGCCATATGTTAAGAAATTTAAAGTCAATTTCATACACTAAAGAAAAAAAATATTAAAAAAATAAATAAGAGAAATACTATTAATATGGGTATTAAAAGATCTTTCCCCGACTGGGTTAGCACGAGTCAAAGCAGCATGACATGGGAGTTTCCTTTTGTCATTCATGCAATAATAAATACACGTAGCTTAAGAGCAAAAGCATATACCCTTCAGACAATACTTTAATAAACATGCAGCAGCACCGTCAGTTGAGGTTACTTTCATGATTTAGTTTTGATTTTACTTAATTCCTTCAACCAAGTGAGTGCGTGGAGTTGCAAAAATACTGAGACTTCCTTTGTTAGGGATGAAACGATACGAGTTAATACAAGTACATACTCGAAGCCAAATGAGTTTGCTAGCGAACAACTCTGAGGAGGAATTCAGAGAGTTTACTCCGTATTGCCATTTGAAGTTCAATTCCAAAAGACTTGGTTTTCGAAAGTAGACCTCCAGGTATTTCTCAACCATTTTCGAACGTAGATATCGTCAAAGATAATATCAACGTAAAAATCCCTACAAAAGAAACTAATTAATTGGCAGCTCCTTCATGACCTAACATATTCATTGTGAACTTCAAGGGACCGAAATATGCAATTCTTTCGACCTGTTGGAGACAATGTGGAAAAATGTAACTTAGTAAAGTTACATACAGGTAATATGGTTGTTAAAAACTTTTATTTTCTCAACCCAAAATTGCTTATAAATGGTTAGTTTCTATATATCATTCAACATCACGGTATAAATTCAAGCTTTAATAATAAATTACTACTGTAATGTGGCTGATGAATGGTCTTGATGATGAATGTTTCGTACACAGTAGGTACATGGATTTCAATGTCATTCGCCGTTGCAGGGCACTTACCTTTTTTCGCTTTCTTCCGCAGCTCTGCCACTGCTACTACCACTATAATTGTTCATACAAACATACATACCTCCATGCATGGTGCAATAACTAGAGACATGCTTACTAACATGAATATTTAGATGTGCATGTGTGCACATATTTTGTATTTACAAAGTGCATTTGCAGTTGGCCCAAGCTAAATAAATGACCTTTAAGCAAATGAGTCGCAATGCTTGCATGCGATGTGTCCAGAGCTTGTATTCCTTTTTTATGCATTGCATGACTTATACTGTTAATAATAAAATATTTAACTTTGCCAGTTTTTGTTGTAGATTTTTTGCTTAAATACAATTTTTTTATTTTTTAAGTATGTATGTGACTTTAATATTCATAAGTAACAAATTTCTGCTATTTATTGACTGCGATATCCTTTTGTTCATTTGCATACTAAAAATTTGCATATTTCATTTCCGTAATAAAAAATGAATTCATCAATTGTTATTGCTATATGCATGCTTTTACTTAAGACTCATACAAATTTTCGTGCATAATATAATTTCTTTATTAACTTGAACGATGATTTGGTGCACTTTCAAATGTCAACACACTCTTTATTATGAATATTTGAATATGTTATGGCTTACAAAAGGTAGATAAATAATTGTTCAAAAATTCAAGTATTGTTGCATGTGTTGCATATTAATTTCATGCATCTGAAGAGCAGTTAGTGAGCTTCATAGAATTGCTGCCACTGTATATAACGCTTCCGGCGTTTAATGCATTGCATACTTTTAGGCGTACTTTGTAGCTCGCACAGTGGAGTTGCGAAAAATTAAACGAGATAAAAATTTTATTAAAAATGCATTACACGATTTTTTTGAACTAATTAAACTGGGTGCAATATTACAGCATAAATGTTTATGAAATAGAATTTCTCAACTAATTTAACGATTTTTTCTTCACGATGTAAAATTTAGCCACGCAAAGTTGATTTCTGCACTGATTTGCAAAACAAGTAAAAGACAAATTTTCGTATGGTACGGCTAATAAACTTAGAGAAAAATAGCATTTGTGAAACTAAAAGATTACCTCTTTGGTAAGTACTTAGTCAAATGAAGAAAAAAGAAATCTGACCTCTTCTATGTATATCTATACGTATGTATACATGTATATCTATGCATGTATACATATATAATTGTTAAGCTCTTTTCTTCGACGGACAAAAACTCGAATACGGCCTGACCGATTTGAATAATATCTTTTTGGATTTGCTCGCTTGAAACGAATGGTTGAAAGCATAAGGAACAGAAAATTGCCACCTATTTGAAAAATATCAATAAATTAATTGAAAAATAAATGAAATATTATGATTTGGGCATGAACCAAATGAGGTTTAACAAAGCTTAGTTTAAAACTAATTTTTGAAGTGGGTTGTCACATGCTCAAAAAAATTTATTTAAATTAAATTGATGAGATAAATAACATATTATTACAATATAGGTATACAACTGAAGAAGCTAATTTTCAAAATATTTTTTAAGGGGTTGTCACCTGTTTAATAATTTCATTCACAAATGGGTAAGATAATTGAAGTATTGCAATATCGTTGTCAAAATAGCGTAAGAAAGCTAACTTTTTTAAATATTTTTGAAGAGGGTTGCCACCTGTTTGACAATTTTTATTAAATTAAATTGATAAGGTAAATGAAAGCTTACAATTGGGGTGCCAATCTAAATTGGTTTAAGAAAGGTTAATTTCTAAAAAAAAATTGAAGAAGTTTGTGACCTGTTTGAATTATTAAATTCAATTGGAGCCGTTAACTTATCACTTTTAAAGTATAGTTAAATCATTAGTAACACTAAGCTATAGAAATTTCTACATATGTACAACTTTAGCGTAAAATTGAAAAGTTAACGGCCCTAAAATTGATAAGATAAATTAAATGTTGCATTATGGGTGTCAAAAGTTGCTTGAGAAAACTTAGTTTGGAAAATATTTTGAAAGAGGGTTACCAACTGTTTGAAAAATTAAATTCGGCTAAATTGATGCGATAAATGAAATATTACCGCTTGAGTGTCAAACATACAAAAGTAGTTTAAGATAGCTTAATTTCTAAACATTTTTTGAAGGGGTTTACCGCCTGTTTGAAAAACTTTATTCAATTAAATATTCCAATTTTGGTATGAAACGAAAAATATTTAAGAAATCTTTGAGTTAGAAATATTATCCAATCTAAAAAAAATAGGCTAAA